AATTTTGTTTCTGATGCTGATTTCGAATCAGGAATTAGATACACTATAACAACTTAGGAGCATACACAGATGAGAAAAACTTGAAAATCATGCCTGCGTTACATAAAAAAAATAATTTTTTGTAGGAAAATATCGAATTAAATTGATTTGCTCGACAAATGGAATCGCAAATAAAAATGTATTTGGTTGATAAATTAATAAATAAATTCTACTTGTTATTTGTCAGCCGAATCAAGTGACAAATAAATAACTGTTCTATTTGGTAGAGGAATCAGATCATAAATTAATTTTATTTGTTCGATGAATCAAATTACAAATCAAATACATTTTTTGTATTATAAGCGGATTTAAAAGTCGAAAGGATTCTAAATTACGCAACGTTGACCGAAGGCATTAGATTAATTTCTCGCCGCTCATGGATTTTAATATTGTGTTCATATGAACATAGAAAAGAAGGATGGAATACAAGATTTCGCTCATCAGAGAGGATTTTTGAAAATAATTTTTGTGTGACGTCACACTGGTGCATTTTGCGAGACAGAAATGTCAAAAACGCTAACAAGAATGGAAGAAGAAGAGGCAATTTTGCAAGAAAAACGTAAACAACTTGCACAAGAGTGACGTCATACAAACAGCGACTCTGTCAAATTCACTGTGAGCGGAATAGCGGTGCCGAGATGGGCGTCACCCTTTTTATCTACATCGTGGTATACATAATGATAAAGATAAATTTACAAAGATTCCGATTTACTTCATTTCACCTCACCTCAATTCACTCAAACTCACCTCAACATAGAAGATAAAGAGAGAGAGAAAATGAAAGTAAATTTAAAATTCTTAACTTGTCCTCATGTGTAGGTGAATGTGTATGTAGATGAAGAAAAGAAAAAAGGTAATGATTAAGATAAGGGTATACATAGATCAGTATAAAGATAAAGATAGAGACAAAGATAGGGAAAGGGAAATAGACGAAGAGGCAAAAAAAAAGACAAAACAGTAAATTAGATTTGTTATATCATATTCTGTTGCTCATCTCAGTCCAATTCACCTCACCTCCATTCACCATAATTCATCTCATCTCAACTTACCTTATCTCACCTCAACTCACCTTAATTCGAACCAAATCACTTCAATTCAACTCTACTCAACTCACGTAATCTCACCTCAACTCTAACTAACCTCACTTCAACTCATTTCAACCCACATCACCTTAATTGCAGTGTTTGAATTTCAAACGCTGGGCGAACACTAGTTTTGGTTTATTTAAAATCTGGCTACCTTAAGTGAGGGTTTTTTTCAATGCATGGGAGTCCTTTAAATACTACTGACACTAAAATATCCGCCTTTTCATTCATATTTTCACAGCCATACATACTCGTACGTGAATACATCAAACACATGTAAATATGTGCAAAATATAAACACTTCTAATAAGTACAATGTGCATACATATTTAGTTGTGTAGGTATGTGTACGGGTCCGCCCATATTTTGCTGTTTTTATTAAACAAAAAAAAACATGCTGCTACAGATTTCCCGTGAATAACATTTATTATAAGTTTCTCATTCGGCTGATATGCACTCGTAGTTCCATATTCACAACGAAAACAGGTGTTATATATGGATGTAGATATTATTTATATGCAGATTTCGTTATCAAAACTAGTTAAAATAACTTATTTAAGTTGGTTAGTGAATAATTTTATACCAAATTGAAAATGCTTAGCCGCACTAAATTGCGTGAAATAATAATGAAGCATCAGAAAGTTTTTCAAAAAAATCATGTGAAGCCAGCGAAAAAGTCAAGTGAAAAAGATAAAAGTGCCACCTTGAAAATTCCCAATGACAAATTGGTGGTAGAAAATTTAGAGGATGTCGACATTAATGCCATCAAATTGATGGGACGACGTACACCAATTGAATATTTCACTCTTCTGGAGAAGGATTTCCATTACATTAAGCCAAGCATACACACAGACTATAGCAAATTGGATATATTTCATCGTGCTATTAGTCCAAGTAAGTATATTTTATGTATATGTGGAAAAACTACTGCAAATATATTTACATATGAGTGAATCCGTGTCAATCAAGCTCTGCCAAAGCAAAACAAAAATTTTTTTTTTCTAAAGTTATTAATGCAGAATTCTAAATTTCACAATTTCCACGATTTTGCAAGACTACTTTTTGAATAACTAAAAATATGGTTCTGGGCTCGTTTTAAGGGATATTAAGAAGAAATTACAAAAACACAAATCGAAAAATTAAAAAGTACAGACTTTGGAAATTTTGAAAATTGTTTAAGAAAAAACTTATAAATCGGCTAAATTAGTTTCACATTATACCACCAACTGTTCTTTAAAAATCCTGAAATTTTTAAGGAGGTGTTTTTAAAGACATCAATTTAGGAACTTTGAAAAAAAGCATAAGTATTCCAAAAAAACTTGTTTACTGAAAGAAAACAACTAGTCGAAAAATCGAATAGGAACGGATAGTCGATCAGTGGTTTGTGAGTGGTTAGATGAAAAAGTCCTAAGGAAACGCGTAGTCGATTTAGTGAAGTCGATTATTTCTTGAAACAACTTTTGCTATTCGACTAATCGATTCGTCGACTAACAAGAGCTCTTATGCTAAACCACTTTTATTTAATTTAAATTAATTTCATAAAAAAATGCATATCTTAAAAAAATTTTCAGGATCTCATAAGATATACAAGTATATAAAGTATACTATTTTGGCGCTCATTGTTGGGAAGAACGTTTCTACTTAATCCAGAAGTTATCCAGACTGTGGACCGAACCCAGGTCCTACGGAGTGGGAGTACGCACTTCTAACCACCCAGCCACAGCGGCTGTAGTGCATACATAAATTGAGCCAAAAATTTACTTTCACGATTTTTAAAATTTCTAAATTCTGTAACAATTTTTTTGTATCGAATTATTTTTTAAATATGTACGTTTTACATAGCCCCAAATATTAATTTTAGAACATGAACACAGGCATTTTTGTAACAATAATAGGTTTTGAGATATTGTGAAATTTTTAATATTCGAAAAAAAAAAATATTTGTTTGCTTTGATAGAACTTTGCTATATGGGTATTTCCATTCTGACGTTACGTGACACTCGTACGACTAAATCTAAAAAAAAAATATATCGAAAAAGTCAAAATTTTAAAAAGGGTTTTCAAGATTTGCATAGCAATTAAATGGCCCCTCATTCAGTAAAAAAATTACTATTGTTGGTAGTAGCGATTTAAAGATATTAGTAAACACACGCGCTGACGTGGCGTTACCCAAAACAGAAGTGGATTTTGTATAAAAGTTTTTATAGTAATATTGGAAATTTCTAATGTTAACTCTCCAAGTTTTTAAATGTAGAATCTTTTCTGATTTATGTTTAATCAGCTTTAATTATCTGACGTGACGTTACCTGGCGTTACGTTACTAAAATTTCCTAGGAAAAATTTTGTTTATACTGTTCTTGAAAGGATTTTTAATGGGAAGAAAACATGCAAATGAGCATAAATACGGGTTTTCAAAATATCTCAACCCTGGCGCCGCCTAACGAGACCATTTTTGGCAATTTTTTTTTGCTTACATAACCAGTATATGAACGTATACCAAATTGGATAAATAAATATACTTAAAAAAAATCTGTTTAAAAATGCGACTATAAATCGGATATATTATTGTTTATTTTTAAGTTTGGTAGATTTATGCGATGAATATGTATTTTTCTCGTTTACAAATTTTCGTCTTTACAAATCTTTTTTGTTAGCGGCTTTACACAATTCTATGGGTGAAATCAAACAGCAGATGTGTATTTTGTAGATTGTATACACTTTCGTAGTAAATTTACGCACAGCACAGCAGCTATATTATACTCTAAAAAGTCCGAAATTTAAACAAACTATTCGTTGAATACTCGAGCATGTAATTTCGCGAATAATAAGGTAGGAAATCAATAACTTACCTTTTAGCTAGGAAACTTACAAAATTTTTTTTTAGAGTGTAAACTAGATATAGGACTTTTATTTATTTTTTTCGCCGTAGACTTTTCGATGTATTCGGCTTTATGACAAAAGAGAAGTTCTAACATGCGCATGTGATCCTATCACACAATATCCGGTAAACATTAAACATGGATTAAATATAGACTTTGTGCGTAGAGAATTCAATAAAGCACAAAGTGTGACAAAAGAGTTCCATTCGGCATCATTTATTTGCAATTCCTGTAAATGTTTTATGTTCAGGTATTACTTTTGAATACAGCGCCATTTTACTGCCTGGATGTCAGAGAAAATGTCGAAAGGTATTAGGTAGGTATGGTTGCCACTGCTTAGCAGGGCCACACTTACGTCACGAGTTGAATGTCCTTTGTGATACCACGACTTAGAGCTGTGTTACTCCCCCTTGCTAAACAATTTTGAATCCTTGACGAAACTCGTTAGGCGTATAAGATTTATGTATATCTCCCAGTTCGTCAAGGTTCCAAAAAAAAAGAAACCCCAAATAGCGGAATCTGCTGCGCATTTACAGAGAAGATAAAGAACTATTTCTTCCTCACAATAGTGTTTGCAACTTCGGCACAAATTATGCGCCATATATGTATGCACCGACCTGGGCTAAGTTTGCCTAGAAATTCGACAGGTCTTAGCTTGCATCCATCTCTCGCTTGCGCATGTACATACATATATGTATGTATGTAGATAAACTCTCTTAAAAGCAGCTTGCAAGTGGTGAAGGCCATAGCAATGCTTGCTGGTACCGCACGGGTTAAATATGTTACTGGAACAAATATACAAAGAAACTGGATAGATATGTTTTTAATTTTTAACTTTTATTAAAAAAAAATATATATATTTAACTATCAAAACGGATTTTCAAATAACTTATTTGGTTTGGTTTTCCAATAAACCATATAAAGATCTTTATAAGCACTAAATATGTAATAAATTATAAAACAAAAATCAGCTGTTAAACACCTCTTTTAAAATAATATGATTTCTTTAGTACTCATTATAGGTCAATGTTTTTCGCTGATGCCTGTTCGTGGTGTTGGCCATTCGAATCCGCGTCAAGTACGCTTTACATTCCGATCCATACAAGTGATGATTACATTGATATTTTTGTTCGCCAGTTCTACGTTTAATTTTGCAATGATAAAACATTTGGCAAAAATTGGGGTAGACGCGAAAAATTTAGGTAAGATTGTTAATGTTTATT